ACACGCTCTGATGAACTGACAGATGGCTAGTTTGTCTTCTTGGTCCACTGACTCAGAATCAGTGACAAAACTATTTTCAACATTTGCATTGTGAGAGGGAAGTGTAGAGAACCCTGTAGTTAATGTGACTGGCTTTTGTTTTTTATTGTAGCAGAGTGGTCCACGGTTCATAACGCACAAAAAATACCAGGTGCAAAGTGCCAGTCAATTTAGGGTATATTAATTGTCTCATGGAAACCCAGAGATTTTACCGAATTTTTGAATTTAACACACACATTTTCAACTTAAGGAAACCTGACAACAGTAAAAACTGTAGAGAAAATACAGAGTCGTTACATTGCTGAGTCTTGGACTCCAGGCTGCAGCTGAGCTAACAGGGTGAGGATGGGATAGAGTGATGGCTGTAAATGAAGCTTGGCCTCATCAGGATGCCCCTCCAGGACCTCTGCCGCCCCTTTCAGCTCTCCCAGGAGAAAGGGCTGCAGACCAGGGTAATGTAAGAAGAAAGCAGAGGGAGACATGGAATTCTGGGCAGGGCCACTGTCTTCAATGCTGGGCCGCTGTCCGAGCATTCTGGAGCTCAGGGAACCTGGAAGAATATTATTTTTTCAGAGCAACACTGAGGACACTGACATGAACTGGATCAGGTTAATGAATAGCTCATTAGAGTCCAAAAGAACCAAGTAGGAAAGTAAACTACTTGTCATTGTGACACAGCACACCACTGCACACAACCAAATGGGAACAGTGGGCAGCTTTAAGAGCCCAGGGAGCAGTGTGTGGGCACGGTGCCATGCTCAGGGCACCTCAGTGGTAACTTGGCAGCTGGTGGATTCAAACCTGACAGACACAGGTCCGCTTCCTTAATCACTAAGCCACCAACAAAACACATTTAATTAAATGAGAACTAATTAACTCAGTTCACCAGAAACTGGGCACAGGTCTGGTCAGAAGGACAAAGATTAGACTCTGGAGCAATGGAAAAAAAGTTCCAAAGGTAAAGGCATGAGAGGAAAATAAGAGAGGAAGTGGAAGTGATGTTCTGTAGCGGAGTTCCGAGGTTTTGTTTTTGCCAATTCAGACCTTAATGTTAAAATTCCAACAATCACCTCACGTTCTGAGTGTTGGTTTAGGGCTGTGGAAGGAGAACCTAAAGTTCCACTTTGATGTTGTGCTCTGTCCATAGACTAAGAAGAGCTGGAAGATATTTCACTTTTGGTAAATTGTAGGAAGCAGCTTCAAGGCCATTTTAGCAATTTAGCAATGGAATTCTAATCCAAAACCAAATAGATAGTCCCTTGTTTTATGGTGTGTACCTAAGTTTACACACATAGATGAAAGGTTTTATGTCCTACTGTAGAGTTGCAGTGCAGCGTTCCTCATGGCCCAACAGGGAGAACTGAGCAGAGTCAGTGACAGAATGGCCACAGCCGGAGCAAACTGAAGGACAGCGCCTCCTAGACCTGAGCCTCGCACCAGAGCCTGCAGAGTGTGAACGGCACACACCTGTGATGACAAAACAGATAGTAATGTCCTATACTTTCTGATCTATATCCTCAGCCCACATGCTGTGTCTGTAAAACAGCAGACCTGAGGAAGGTCCAGGGTCTGGTCCCAGTCGTCAGGCAGAGGCATTTTGGCTGTGTCCAGTAGAGTCTCCATACTACGGGCTAGGAGAGGTCGTGATTTACTGGCCTCCTCTGCTGACACCACACACAAGATGAGCATCGGCAGCCCTGCTGCTCGTCGAGTCACAGATGTAGAAGGAGGACACTGCACGACCTGCAAACTCTGTCAACAGAGAAAAGACGTGAATCGACTTTTTTATCTCCATTTATAAAAAAAAATTAAATCCAACACTTTCATCTACACACACACACGTATATCTATCTATATATCTATATATCTATATCTATATATATCTATATCTATATCTATATCTATATATATAAATTCTTGATTGTTGCTGCTCAGCAGGGATGCACAGAACTTGGTGAAACCCACACAGGAGCCCTCTACTGCTCCCTAGTGTAGAAAAAAGATTTGTCATAAGTGAAGTTGCCGGCTGAAAAAAATCAAGATACATTTCTGCTTAAGTAATATAACTTACCCAGTGACGGCATTTTAACAGAATATTCTTGAATATTATTGACGTTCTTATTAGATCTTCCTTTTCTAAAATACATTTATTGGAGTCAGTAAGAAGCTTCTCCACCAAAGAACCCAAGAAAATTCCTATATCCTGATAAGGAGACACCACATTTAGCATTTAAACATTTAAAGTACAATAAATGCCAAACATCAAAAACTTGAGACTATAGCATCATAATTTTCAACGATGCATGTGGTTCTGCTGACCTTGAGTGAGACCCAGCAGCAGGTGAGAATGAGGCTGTGCTCCTCAGATAGCAGGACACACTCTTCATCATCATCATCATCATCATCATGAATTCTGTCTCCTACAGATGTTTGGGCTATCAGCGAGCTGATGGCATTTCCCATATCACAGAAAGAAGGCGGGGCGTCTGTTAGAAAAGAGACGGATCGAGTGTGTGTGAGCTCGTAAATATTTTGAACTCTCATCCCACTTGTTGATTAGTTATGTAGTGTGTTCTGTCTGGGTGTTGTCGCTGTGTACTGCAGTATTAGGGCTGCCATTAGGATACCATGTATTACATGCTTAAAACATCACTGGTGTTGCAAGTGGGTATGTTACCTTGGTCAGTGGCAGAACCACTGAGGTCACCAAACAGAACACCCAGCAGCAGCAGGGAGATGTTCTCCAGAAGAAGCAGGACCTCCCTGACCATACTGTGGTCCAGTGTGTCGCAGATATGAAGAGGTGACTCAATCACACACCTATGAAGAGCACCAACAATACCTGGAAACAGTTCATGACACTTTGTACCGATAAGAATATCAATAACATAATAACAATGTCAATTAGTAAATTATTAACTCACCCAGCATGAACATGTACCTGAATTTACAATCCGAATATAATGCAGGTCATTTAGGTAAAAATGTAGACTATTAGAATATCTACAGGACTATAAACACACACCAATTAAACTGTTTTTTGATGGTGACGTCAATTTGATTGGTTCAAGTACACTGGGAGAGTACAGCTAATCCTTTTATTGTTCCTAGAGACAGGACAACAGGCATAGGGTACTGTGGAGGAACACATACAGTGCCTGAAGTCCGATTTGGTTATGTTATCATTACCATACTGTAATAGACTCTATTTATTAACCCTTGCAAATGCTAACCATCACCAGGAAGGCACAATGGAGGCAAATGGAATTAAATTTCAATATTTTCTTTATTTCTGCCATAGTTTTAATAGAAAATGTCTGTTAAATTAGAAAAGAAAGATTTGTAGGAATTATAGCATTGAAAGAAAATAAAGTACAGGAGATTTTAAGCATTAGCCATAAATGAGTTGATGTGTAGGGAGTGTTGACAAATAGCCATATCTAAAAAAGGGAGATGCTGCAAAAAATGTTAGAGATACCACTTCAATAAAGCAGCCCTTATTTATTCTATGTAAAAAATATTTTTAACATCAAAGGTCTCACCATGTATTGGTTTGGTTTTGGCAGCCAGCATCATATCTGCCTTGGCTGTGTGATAATGTTCCTGCAGCTCCTTCACCAACTGTCTGACTCTGCAGGATGCTTCGGACTTTTCATAACTGTTGACATCATCAGTGCTGCTCTGGCTGCAACCTTCAGGTTGCTTTGCTGACCTACACACACAGGAAACTGCTGAATCCCTGACAGTCATGTTGACTGATGGTATAAAAGAGGCAGGGCTTACTTCAGAAGTAGGACCTTCATCATTAGTGCTCCCATCTGAGCCTCCTGCACGCGAGGACTGCTCAGAAGCTGTTTGGTTCGTCGGAGCAGCACTGCACCGACATCATCTGGAAAACTGTTTGGGAAAAATCTTAACAATATCCCAGCGGACAGCTCTCGAATCTGGAGGACAGAAGAATTGTTTTATCTATGTTCTCTTCAACTTTATTATGGATGATTAATATAAAGGTGAGGACAGTGAAAGCTGCTTTACCTCATTTGTAGAATCTTCTAGACAGCTGATGAGGACCAGCTGTTTAGCCCTGTTAAAAAAATCCCACCGTCCATTTTGTCTGGCACAGCTAATGAGAGACGCAATATTTGCTGCAAGAAACCCATAAAACACATAAAAACGGCAAATTCAATAAACAACAAATTACAGAACCAAATACTTTATATAATAATATAACAAATATTTTATAACTAGCTCCAGGAGCTGGTGTTCCAAACTGACCTGGAGGTTGTCCTTTCTTCTTGTCTGGACTCCAGGTGTCTGTGCAGGTGTCCAGGACAGCAGACAGCAACAGCAACACAGTCTTCTTCCTCTGATAACTGTGTCCTGGGGCCAAATAGCTGTATGGAAGATGACTCAACCACTCCACAAAGTCTGCAGAGTAGGATCATAGGGCAGAAGACAGAGTAAAAATAAAAAAATGTAAAATAAATAGAAAGATCTCATAAAGATGGATATTTTTTATTCTTTTTTTCTTAACATAAATTTCTTATTAATATTTTCATTAAGCATGAGAGTTGATTGGGGCTTGACCAACACATTAAAAAATGGACTACATTGTTACTGTGCTTTTTGAATCAGTTACACTTATAATGAGGTTGGCAGGGAATCATTTTTTTGTTAAATTATTAAACCACCATTTCTCACCTATTCCTTGCTGCAGTAAATCCTGTGTCCTGCCTAAACGAGGGCTTTCCTGTTTGTTTTTGCCCTTCTGTCCTCTGACCAGTGCCAAGCATCCGTCTCTGATACGAACCAGGAACTTCTTTACACTGGCCTGAAAATGCTGGCGAAAAGGTGAGGACTCACAGTTGAGGTTCTGAGGAATAAACTCCCTCATGATCGTCACCTCCTCTGTGGTTGGACTGTCTTTGGTCTTGGGGCTGCAGCAGAGGAGGTTGAGAGCAGCCAGACGAACTTTGTCGTCTGCAGATCCCAGAGCCAGCTGGAGGGTTTGGCGGATGGAGCTGTCCTGCAGAGCCCAGGGAGAACATCCAGTGGTGGCTCTGTATGTGCTCATGATGCTGGCCCACGCGTGGAGATGACCTGGGGTTAACGGATCAAGGGAGGCCAGAAGATGAGTTACGGCAGATGGGAAGACTTGAAAAGTACAAGGTAATAAGTGTGTTGCACTGTTATTCTGTAAAAGAGTCACGTCAGACGTCAGGGCCTCGTGTAGGACCGGCCTCCAACGTTTTGCCCACACATGGGTTATGTCCAGTTCAGTGGGATTATTGGATTTTTTGAAGTTTTCAAGTTCTCTCCTCTGCTGCTGGACCAGACTCTTATAAAGCTCTGATCCACATGGTGAGAGGTGATTGGTTGACAAGCACTTCAGGAGATGACTGGGTAAATCCACATAATGATCCAGCACCTATTATATCAAATTAAAATGAATCAAAGTGACTTGTGGCTTCACTGAAACATCATTATTCAGTATAAAGACTTCAACCTCACCATGTCAGTCCCCAGGTATGGCAGTAATGAACAAAGGTGATAATATTTGGCTTTTGATTCCCAAGGTAAATGGATTATTCGCTGAAGCAGACACAAATAAAGAGTCTTCTCTGTGTCACAAATATTCTCACAGTCCATCTTATAGATGTCCAGCAGCAGGGAGAAAGCACAGCGCACAAATTCTGACACACCATACACCTGCATAGAAAACAGACAACACTGAGTGACCATGGCAGACATATTTTTTAACTTAACGTTCTGTAAAATCAAGAAACTCAAACAAACAACTTATTAGGGTATATCAAACAATTTGTTCTCTAAACAGAAAATATTCTTTATGAAGTAAAATGCACTGGATTGGAAGAATTAGTCAAACTTAGCTTAATTAAATGTATCTCTACATTAACCCCAACCTTTTCATGCAGGATACCAGCTTGATATTTTGGTTTAGGTAATTACATACTCTACTCATGCTATATAAATATTATCACCTTTAACCGAACTATTTTTTCCTCCCTGTAACATTTTTTCACTGTCACATCAACCTTTGAATATTAAATACAACAATAATATTAGTCATTCTGACTAATATTATTAGAAGACTATGAGTGGTAATGGTCATAAAGTCAAACAACAATAGAAAGCCATACTGTAAATCCAAAACAGAACAACAAAACTTTAGTTTTCTTTTTTTTTTAAATAATAGTAACAGTGTGTCATGGGACTTACTGGACTTTCTGCATTGGTCCAAACAATGTCAATGAGCTTCTGCTGGAGGCTGCTGTTTGCAGAAAGGAGACCGACTCCTCTCTTCTTCCATATGTCAGCCAAGCATTCCTTAACTCTTTTCAGCCATAGAGTTAAAACTGTAGCAACATGTTGTCTATGAATATGAAGGTATCATTCATCAGACACATTAATGATCATTCTGTGGGTTACACACCTTCAAAGGCCAGGTAGTGACACTCCAGCTTTTCCTCACATAGAGCCCAGACCAGAGGGAACAGGCCTTTTAGCAGTAAACACTGCTGAAAAGAGAAAAGTAATGAGAGCTAGTAAAATTCAAACACGTTTCGTTGTTAATTTTAATGATACATCAGTTTACATCAGTGGCATCCTCATAAGAACTGAGTAAAACATGGGGCCGACAGCAGGTTAGAAGACCCCTGCTCACAGCCAGCCTCCCCACTGTGTCTCCTCCTGGTACAGGAGAGCACCGTATCCGCAGACCACCAACAGTCAGCAACCAGGGCTCTGAGAAACAGCACACAAAACCCATCAGATATCAATAGTCGTGAAAAGATTTTCTGAAGACTAATGGAAGTGAGAAAATCTTCATGATCAAAAACAATATGCATTTACTTTAAAACAGTATGGGGTCCATTTGGGGACAAACTTTAAAACATATGTAGCTAATCTTTACATACCAAGTTCAGCAACCTGTAGCAGACTCCATGCAGCAGCTGTGGCATCTTTCCTCTCTGAACCCATGTTAATCAGCATGGCCAAGGTCGTGCCAGCCAAAAGACGAGTGTCCCTGTTGCTACACTGCAAGACACATCACCGTGTGTCAAAATAAGAAGTAAAAAATACGTAATGTGTGTACATAATACTTCTGGACTATAACTGGTTTCCTGCCTAGAAAGAGTACTACAGATGCAATATTTGCCTTGAGGATGCTGATGGAGTGTCAGGAGTGATGTGACAGAAGAGTGTCAGCTAAGGTGAAGGGAAAGGTTTACAGAAGGGTGGCCACCCCAGCCATGATGTATGGTTTAGAGACAGTAGCAATAGGCAGAAGACAGGAGGAGGAGCTGGAGGTGACAGAGTTAAAGATGCTAAGATTCTCTTTAGGAGTGACAACACAGACAGGAAGGATTGGAGAAAAAGCTAGAGAAGCCAGATTGAGATGGTTTGGACATGTGCATAGGAGGGAGGGTGGATACATTGGTAGAAGAATGTTAGAGCTGGAACTACCAGGTAGGAGACAAAGAGGAAGACCAAAGAGGAGATATAAAGATGCAGTGATGGAAGATATGTTGGAGTCAGAATAGAAGATGCAGAGAACAGGGAGGGATGGAAAATCATGATTCACTGTGGCAATCCCTGAAAAAGGGATAAGCCGAAAGAAGAAGATAAGTCGCTCCGGAGTATAAGGTGCACCAGCCAAAAAATGCATAATAAACCAAAACAAAAAACAGATATACAGAATGTCGCTCCAGAGTATAATTTGCACCAGTACCCTCTAGTGGCTAGAAGGTGTGATTTAAAGTCTGGAAAATACAGTAGGCCTGTGTTTGAGATTGTTGGCAAATATACCTGTCCAAGTATGATGTCCATCAGGGCCTGCAGGATATTCTGCACTGCTGGACTCTGATGCTCCCTGTCCCATACTAGAGGAGCCAACTCAGTGGACAACAGTTGGAATATCTGTAAGCACAACTGCAAAGGAAACAGATCTAATGTCAGTAAGATTGGTGAGTTATTTAGTCATGAATGCAACAGATGATTCAACCTTCTCCTGAGTTACCTTCACAGCAATATAACACATAGGTCCATCTCTGTGGGATTCCTGTTGTAATACAACAGGAAACAGCTCTGACACTTTACTCAGCAGATACTGGTGCGACTCTCGCCAGACCTCACGGCCCACCATGCTGTCCTCCAAGAACATACAAGCTGAATAATACAAATGTTGATTAAAAATGGGTACTGTTATCTATTTTATTTTTCAGCATGTCTTGTCATATATTATTTATTTCAGTTCCAAGCCAACACTAACCTCTCTGTAGATCCTCAAATGATAATATCTGGAACACAGTTAATAAACAAGCTCATAATAGCAATGTTACAAAATAAACCTGAGAAAATGTGAAGGTCTTGTACCTGCGCCGTTTGGATTATTGAATGTAAACACTGACGGGTTTCTCTATAAACCAACTCTTGATCCATCTTTGCCAAATACTGCAGCATCTACAAAGCAGAACTGGAGCTTCAGAGACAGCTTCATGTTGTCATTAGATTTTTAAGTAGAGAAACACTGTAGGAGGGTGACCTTGTCTACTTTACGACACGCTGTGGAGATGCTGACCGTCTGCAGCTGCATGGAGATGAGGAGTCTGACCAGCAGCTGGAGATCATTCCTCTCCAAAGAAACTAACTCTGTCTGGGGTATCTGTCTCAGCAGCTGTGCAGCCTCATCTAGACAGCGCTCCTTACATCTCTTAACATCACTCCTGGACACAACAAAATTATGAATCAGTCATCGCCGCAGCTTGTTACCGACATCAGGATGTTAATGAAGTGGGTAAAGGCACAAACCTGGAGGACTGAGAGAGTTTGTCACAGAAGATACGAAGTTTGTTCTGAACGTGGTCCTCACTGATGACACACGTCTCCAGACTGTTTAAAAGAGATTCAAACGAAAACATGATGGTAAAATCAGTGCCGAACTCACCAATGATGACATTAAGTTGACAGAATAGAACCAAACACGCGTGGTAGTCACCGGTAGTCACGTGATACGACTCTTCCTCAGTGGTTACCATTAAAACACAGCGATGTGATGACATCTAGTGGTTAGGGTGTACAGGTTTAGTGCCTTGACTACAAAAAAGTAACATACTTGCTTTGTTTACGATTAAATCAAATTTATATCAAGAGAAGAAAGCCTAAACTAACATATATACAAAACAACAATACACTATAACTTGTTCGATGTTACACTTGGGTTGATTCCATAATTATTTCGTCATAGTTGCTTTTGTTTAAACTTCTTTTTCTCTCGGCTTTGTCCCTTTTTTTCAGGGGTTGCCACAGCGAATCATTGATTTCCATCTCTCCCTGTTCTCTGCATCTTCTACTCTGACTCCAACTATCTCCATGTCCTCCCTCACTGCATCCATATGTCTCCTCTTTGGCCTTCCTTTGTCTCCTCCTGGTAGCTCCATCTCTAACATTCTTCAATTTAATTTAATTTAATTTAATTTAATTTAATTTAATTTAATTTAATTTAATTTAATTTAATTTAATTTAAACTGAGCTTTAATAAAAGTGAGCCATTAAGTAAACCAAAGGAAGCAAACTACAGGTGGGAATAAATAATTAACAACAATAATAACACATGGCCTTTTTAAAATCTACTTTCACAAAACAACCTTTTCCTTTTCCAAACCTCAAATTATTATTATTATTATTATTATTATATACAAAGAAAGAACGCTTCTGAATATTTAATGAATGTAATATATCTCCAGGTCAGCTGATGTCGCTGTTGATTATGTATCCCCCAAAGGTTTTTTGAGTCCTGATTGGTCGAACGTTTTCGTTACCAAGACAGCATCTCTGAGAGTTTATAAATGTCCCCCGTTATCCTAAGACAAGCAATGGCTAAACCTCCTATTTTGTTTTCCCCTCTGTTTATTAACAGCGGGTGTTTATTCACGTGCATTTTACTGATATTTTCAATAGGCGACGCTCAGGACGTTGTCGGTAAGTCCATTATATATTTGTTTAGTTTATCCAGCTCTGCTAAACTGCTAATGCTAAATTAGCTGGAGGGACGGTGCAGTATAGGACCTACGCACACTCTGAAGTTTCTTTTGAATTTTTATTTCACATCCCTGCATTGGGATGCATTAAAATGTATTTTTCTTGTTATAAATATAGTTTTCCAACCGACATTTCTCACTGCAACGGGACCCTTGGTGTCAGTACTTCTGCTCGGTAACTCATCGGAAATGTCCCTTAGTCTAACAACGGTGTCTCCTTCCAACACGACAGGTACAGTGTCTGCTTTACCGTGTTTACAAAGTATTGGATTGTTCGTGTTATTAGCACTAGATAAATAGTAGTTGTCAGACCAATTAAACGAAATTGGATACACTGCCATGGCATATAGGTAATCACTAACGACACACTAGGGGATCACTGCACTTACCAAACACGTTTCTTCTAAAACGCTTATCTTTATTTCCCAGGAAGCATTGGTCTCCCCTCCTGCATTTCTGAAGCAACAAACTGGATGATCGTAAAGGAAAGGGTCGGAAAGGTAGAAACTAACATGTTTTTGCCATAGCAAAAACAGTTTAGTAATTATGCAAATTTAATTGAATAAACATCATTTAAAGAAGAAGATGCATCATTTAAACCTGATTTAACCCTTGTGTAATGTTCATATTGTTGTTACTCAGCCAGCGTTTGTGGGTCTGATGGACCCGTTGCATTTTGTGGCTTTTGATGCCTCACAATCAACACTTTTATGTTAAAATACTGAACAGATGTTTACCTTATCCCAATTACAAGCAGTATAAACAATATATAT